GCACATGTTCTTACGTAAACTAAGTTTGTCTGAAGAAGAATTCCTGCACTGGGTGAGAGTTAGATTCAACAACCTAAGTGGCCCTTCTCCTAGGATTCTATGGGGCAGATAAAGGCATCAGCTATAGCAGTGTTTCTCAGCCTTGGCCACTTTAAGATGGGTAGACTTCAACTCCCAGAATTCCCCAGCCAGCCATTCTGGGAGTTGAAGTCTACCCATCTTAAAGTGGCCAAGGTTGAGAAACACTGAACTACAGGCTTCAACAACTGTTGCTCCTCCAATCATTCAAGTTGCAATCCATTTTTCCTGCTTCTTTTCAAGGCACAATGCCATGCTATCTTTGCCACTCCTATTCCCATACCTGTAGGAAATGCCGGGTCTCCTGTCCAGCCGGTGCAGTTGCAAAATGCTTAGGTGGGGTGCTCAGCTCTTGCACCCAGTCAGCCAGGTTGGGCCCTGTGCCTTGGAACAATGAGGCAAAGGAGGGGAGAGGGGGCGGACGGCGCCTGTAAAGGGAGGAAAGGGGGGTCAGCCCAAGACTATCCCACTCCTGCCGTGAGGATGCCAAGGCCCAGAAGGGAGGATCTTGCTTTCTACCCACCATCAACATAGTGGATGCAGACTTTGGGGGTGGGGGGAGATAGGTAAGGGACAGGCAAGGGGCATGGAGACCCCACTGTCTTCCTTCCAATTTATCAGGGTTCGCAATTGATCAAGAGTCCTGTTCTTGCAAGCAAATGAAGGCACTCTGTTCTTTTTCAATAACCATCTTTGCACTGGATTCTTAACCCAATCGATATGAAAGAGAGTTCCAGGGTTCACGTTTTCTTGCTCAGAAAAAGGGCCAATCCTTATTGCTCACTTCAAACCCTCCAAAGGAAAGTCTTCCACATTCCCCCCCCCCAAATTCTTTTAATCCAATTTAATTCAGAGGTGGTAAGTTACCTTCCCAGTCACTGGGCAACCTCCAGAACTTCCTTTCCTCCTCCTCCGCACCTTCTTTGCTGATCTTCTGCATGGTCTATCAATTTTGGTGCTTTAGGAATAGCAAGTAGACCAGGAGCTTCCTAAATCCTAACTAACCTTCCTAACTTGCCCCTCACATGAAGCCTTTTTATACCCATTGCATGCATGACCCATGTAAAAAGGGAGCAAGGTTCTACTTCATGGTTGTTAGCCACCTCCTCCCCCAGCAGATGCCCCTGGACATGGGGACGCACCCAAGAAAGACACAAAGGGAGTGTTACCTTTTGAGAAAGGTCTGGGCTTCTCGCTTCTGTATTTTCCTGAATTGGGCCAAGGGACTTCCATTTCCTCTTGCAATTCCAGCTTCTGTATCTGCAACCTGGTCTTTAAGGTAAGACAGGTGTCAATTTGGGAAGAAAGGTGCCTTCTCATCTTCGCCTACAGCAGATGCAGGAAGGTTTGGATTTGGAAATCTGAGCAGAGGCCTCTAGATTTTAGGCCAGTGTTTTTTAAACTTGGCCACTTGAAGATGGGGGG